TTTTTTTTTTTAATTTAGGCTCAGCACTCATAGCTCAGTGTTTAGGGCACTGGTCACATACACCAGAGCTGGAGAGTCTGAATCTAGCCTGGGCCTGCTAAACAATGACAACTACAACAAAAAAATAGCTGGGTGTTGCCATGGATGCCTATAGTCCCAGCAACTTGGAAGGCTGAGGCAAGAGAATCACTTAAGCCCAAGAGTTTGAGGTTGCTGTGAGCTGTGACACCACGACACTCTACTGTGGGCAACAAAGTGAGACTCTAAAAAACACACTTGAATTTATATAGGGATTCAGCCTTTACTCCCACAAAGTAATTTCTAAAAATTATGCAGCATATACACATACATATATATAAAATATATGTGTTGTGCATATTTTTTCTATAACTTACAAAATATTTTCATATCTATTATCTTACTTGATCCTAAACTGACTTTGAGAGGCAGTTATTATCTACATTTTCCAGATAAGGAAACTGAGGTTCAGAGAAGGCCTTGAGAATCCAGCCCTTGATCTTCTCATTACATTATACTGGCATGCAGTAACTGACCATGACACCTCCTGTGCACAAGTAAGCAAAGCATTTCAGTTCTGTGCGAGAACAACATGCACTTGATGCCTGTGGCTCTGGTGGTTTTATGAGAAGATTACTCCCTTCTTTGCAGGTTGCTTTATATCTGGAGATTGGCTAGACAAAAAATGAAGGACTTCACGCTTGGACTAGCCCTTTTAAGAAACACTTAACTCCAGGCTGGTGCAGCTCACATGTATAATCCTAGCACTCTAGAAGGCCAAGGTAGATGGATTGCTTGAGCTCAGGAGTTAGAAACCAGCCTGAGGGAGAGTGAGACCCCCATCTTTACTAAAAATAGAAAACTTAGCCAGGCAGTTTTGGCAGGCACCCATAGTCCCAGCTATTTGGATGGCTGAGGCAAGAGAATTGCTTGAACCCAGGAGTTTGAGGTTGCTGTGAGCTATGCAAAAACAAACAAACAAACAAACAAACAAAAAAACCACTTAACTCCTTTACTTTATACAGGAGTACACAGAAGCCCTGAAGGCCAAATGATTTGTCACATTCCCCCAATCAGTTAGAGGTAGAGTAAGGTGACCAGTCATCCTACTTTTGGCGGGACAGTCCTGATTTTTAACAATTTGTCCCATGTCCCGTGGCGTTTTAAAAAAGTCCCAATTTTTGGAAAGAATGCACGACAAGCTAGGGAACGGCAGGAGAACAGGAAGAGAATATACGGTTTTTGGCTGCCATGTGGCTATTTCACCAGGATATGAGTTTGATATTATTTTTGTTAATTTTATAATGTTAAACTTTAATAATAACAAATAACTGCTGAGAACTGATTATTGAGAACTGCTTATCAAAGTTTGCATTGTTGTCAGGCCCCCCCACCCCCGTCAATGGTGTCCCGCTTTACCAATGTTAAAATCTGGTCACCTTAAGGTGGAGTCAAAACCAGAAGCCAGGTTTCCTAAGTTCTCTTCTTTATACAGCATTGCCTCTATAGCTTTCTACCCATTTCTATGATTTTGGTTACATACCCCATTCTGACCTTCTTTGCCTTAACCATTTCCCTTGTGTCTACTGGTTGAATTTCTGCATGGATACTGCTATGGCACACAAGGCCCTGCACAAACTGGCACAAGATACTTCCCCACCAATGAACCTTCTCTCACACCATGGGAATTACTACTGACTCCTCCAGGTGCTGGCCTCTTGTGTAAGATACTGATAAAGTTGTCCTTCTGGAGCTGTGTTGGTAAAAGCCATACACCTGACAGTAAGGACTTGAGTTTCTTCTCTATCACTCAGGAACCACTTGGGCGAAGGCATTCAGGTGGGAGGGAAAAAACAGCCTCTGGAACCTGGCAGCTTTGGGCAGGGACCTCTCCTTCCTTATGCCAACAGTGACATAGTGAGACTCTGTCTTAAAAAATAATAATAATAATGATAAATAACTTTGGTTCTCTTCCCCAAACTGTTGTTATTTTGGCAAGCTCTCATGTTTTCCTGGTACAGACATCTTCAATCTTTTCTGACACTAATTCCTCTTCCAAAACCTGTGCTCCTTTACAACAGGATCTGCCTGTAGTTGCCATGTCTAGCATGAAACATATAAGGTATTCAATAAACATTAGTCTAGTGAATAAAATAGCAACTTTTTTCCTTTAACAATTTTTTTTTTTTTTGAGACAAAAGTCTCAGTCTGTTGCCCTCTGTAGAATACCCTGGCATTATAGCTGACAGCAACCTCAAACTACTGGGCTTGAGTGATCCTTTTGCCTCAACCTACCAAGCAGCAGGATCCACAGGTGCCCACCATAACACCTTGCTAATTTTTCTTTTAACAGAGACAGGAGTCTCTCTCTCGCTCACCTGCCCTCAAACTCCTAAGCTCAAGCAATGCTCCCAGAGTGCTGGGATTACAGGCTTGAGCCACCAAGCCTGGCCAACAATATTTTTTAATTGGTTAATTGATGAACACTGCAAACAATTCAAACTGTACCCCCTCAAAAGAAAAAAAAATCAGGGAAAAGTAAAGTCCCATCCCAAACCCTTCCTCCCCCCATATCAGTAGTGTTTCCTTTCAGATTGTCTATGCACATATGGGTATTTAAGTGTGTTCCAGTCTTATACATATGGTACAAAAAATTATAAGATATAATTTATATGTAAATATACGTGAGCAATTTATGTAATATTATGGAGCATGCATAATTGTATAATATATAACATGTAAATAATATTTAATTTAAATACATATTTTTACACAAAATTGATTTTTTCCCTTAGCTTATGTCAGGCATCATTTTTTATTTTTTAATTAAGAGCAGTTTAGTCTTCCATCGTAGGGGCATAACATGATTTACTTTACAGACCTGATGTTTCCAGTTTACAAATACTGCCATTGTCACTATCGAGAGATCCCGTCGCCAAACACAGAAATACCATCGCTCTCACCCCAGCCCCCGGTGGCTCTGCATTTTCAAAGACCTTTTCACGCACCCAGGAGCAGGGCCTTGCACCGAACGCAGTCCTCACCGCAGGGCGGAAGACCTCCCGACCCGCGAGCGCGGAGACTACGGGACCGAACCCGCCCCTCCCCTCCCCCAGCGTCTGCCGGCCGCCCGGCTCGCCGGCTCAAACGTGCCGGAACGTCAGCGCCCGGCCTCGCTCAGCTCTGGACTCACTGGGTGGACTGGGCGCGGCCGGCTCGGCGCGGGGCGGGGCTCTGCCGGGGCTGGGCGGGGCTCCGGCCGGCGGGGCGCGGCCGGCGTGCGGGGCTCCTCCCCTTTCCTCCGGCGGCGCCGACGGCAGCAGCACTTCCGGGTCGGCGCGGAGGCCGGGCGGAGGCGCAGCGGCGGCTGTTATTGTTCGGCTGGGCTCGGACGGGCGCTGTGTCTCTCGACTCCGCGGTTGTCAGTTTGTCCGGCATCCTCTCGGCCCCTCACTCCCGGCAGCTGACGGCGGCGGTGGCGGCGGCGGGCGGGGCCTGGCGTTTCGAGGCTGAGCAGCGCGGGGGTGAGGGGCGCGGAGGAGGAGCAGTAGCCGGAGGAGGAGCCGTGTGCCCTGGCACTGAGCGGCCGCGGCCATGGCGTACGCCTATCTCTTCAAGTACATCATCATTGGCGACACAGGTGAGGACCTCCGGCGCTGCCGGGCGGGTGTCAGCGGCCTCTGGGCCCGGGCTGCGGGGTGGACGGCGTCTGGCAGAGGCGCGGACGCGGACTCCGCCCGGCGCCTCCCTCCCGGCCGCGCCGCTCCATTTCCGCAGTGCTGGAGCTGGTGACGTGGGCACTGCGAGCGGCCGCGGCCTGGCCAGGCCCAGTCCACGGGCGGCCCCCGACCGGTCAGCCTTGCAATCGAGGGCCGCGGCAGCCGTTTGCGACGCCCGATCTTGGAAGTGTGCGATAGGAGGGACAGTCCAGGACCGTCAGAGCCCGACTCAGGCGGTTGCACCCCATTGCAGGGCTCCTCACCTTGGGTGTCTTCGCGGCCCCCGAGGGAGGGAGGGAGGACGAGAAGAGCAGAAGGTGACAGCACCGGGGTCTTGGTTTTCCTGACCAATCCCCCGTCTTGCACGCGTCTGCCAAGATCTGAGCAAGGGGCTTTCTGATGTGGGACAGCCAGCTGGGAAGAGAAGGAAATCTTTTTTAAAAAATGTTTTTAACACCATCCCGAGTCAAAATAAGTCACATCTCTCCGTTGGATAGCTGGAGAATTCTTTTCGGGGTTATTAAAGCATGAAAGAGTTCTGTGGACTATTGCCACGTGTAAACTGGGATTATTTGATAGTAATGCAAGGCCATTCAGTGCCCTGGGTGTGTGCATACGCATGTATGTTGAGGACGCTGTTTGTTTTTAGATATGTCAATGAGTCCAGTGTCACAACTGCTAATTTTCAGGTGATCTCATGCCCATTTGAAGTGGAAATAAATTTGGTTATTCCAACTTAAATAACGTTTTAGTATATTTCTCAGAAAAGTAAAGAAAGCCATTGTAAAATATTTTTAATACCTGTAATTTTGGCATTACTTTGAATCTAATAATAAACGTAAGACTAGTTCAGGTTTTACAACTATTAATATACCAGAGTCTCATTTCACTGGTGACTCTTGCACAACTTGGGACGTTTTGCACAACTTTGGAAATGTAAGCAGCAGGTTGTGATTGCACTAATGATGTAGCAGGTTCTATAGGTAACTAAAGAAGCATGTTGATGCTGCCTAGAAGAAATACTTTCTGCTTTAAACATGGGTTTTCAGAAAAAAGTTTTTGGTGTGCGAATGTGTATGGAAAGTGGATGGTTTTATATCTAAAATTCTGGTAAAGCAGTGTTTTGCAAATGTTTGGTAGCAAATTTGTAAACTTTAGAAAATGCTGTGGTATATTTGGTAAAAGGAAGGCGGGTTCTCACACCTTCTGGCAAAATTGGATTTAGGTTGTAAAAATGAGATTGGAGAGAAATGTATCATGCAAGGAGTAGCAGGACAACAGATAATAACAAGATGGTGCTCCATTCTCTTCGAATTTGCCCTCCTCCAAAAACATCCCCCATGCAGTTCCAAAGGAAGATACTCCTTTCTTGCCTTCACTGCTTTTAAGACATAGTTCAGGCACTGAATACTTGACACTAGTCTCACTGCTTTCGTTGGGTCAGTATGGTGTATTGTTAGCGTAATTGTCCTAAATTACACTACTCCTCTGCTCCCTCACAGTTTTTATTTTGACTTTCACTCAAGTCTGTTTTTCCCACTATTCCCCACTGTGCTTCTGCCACTGAGGACCAGTGGCCGATTGCTGTGGGTTTTCTTGGGCCCTGCTACTCTCTGTGCTTAGAGTGCTTTCTGCTGCAGTCTCATCCTGTGGTGGTAATTCTGTAAGTCCTTCAAAGTCTTAGCTGAATCTTCCATAATGCCTTCAGAGTCAGAATTTTTCTGGTATTCTGGCTGAAAGTGACGACTCCTTTTCTGTCTGGATTTATGTTCCTCACTTTGTGTCATTCTTCTGATATTAATCCAGACTCTCTTGTTTTATACATACTTGTGTAGGCATCTGTATTTGATTATGAACTTCTTGAAAGCAGAAAAGGTGTTTTGTATGACTCTGTGTTTCACTAAGAGCCTAGTAAAAGGTAGCCTATATGTTAATGAACAAGTCAAATAGGCCTCTGTATTCCTGTTAGTACATATTAATATGTTGACAGAAATTTTTTTCGTGCAGTTCTGCCACTGTTTTTTGACTTTATGCAAAATCCTTTACCTAATATTTCCTTAATTCAAGGTATACCCATACGTGTAAGATACACTCGGTTCAGCTCTCCCCACAAAAAAAGATATTATATCAGTAGTGTGAGGTTCATATTGCTTGTTTAGAAAATTGTGGTGTGAAAAGCATGCATCTTTGAATGAGGAAATTACTTAATTTTTTTTCTGTAAAACATTCTTAGCCTTTCCTTCTCTCAGTAGTATGTGAAATAAAGTGAGAATAAATGTGAAAGTACATTGATTTCCTAAGGAAAAGGAACTGTGCACATTTTTCCTTTTCAGAATTCCCCCTTTTTTCTTTTTTTCTTTCTTTTTTTGTTTTTGAGACAGTCTCTGTCGCCCTGCATATGTAGAGTGCTATGGCATCATAGCTCACAGCAACCTCCAGTTCCTGGACTGAAGCAATCTTTTTGCCTCAGCCTTCAGAGTAGCTGATGCTACAAATGTGGGCCACAACATCCAGCTAATTTTTCTGTTTTTAGTAGAGAAGGGGTCTCACTTTGCTCAGGCTGGTCTCTCAAACTCCTGAGCTCAAGAAATCCACCACCATGGCCTCCCAGAGTGTTAGGATTACAGGTGTGAGCCATCTCACCTTGGTCTCTCTCTTTCATAGAAGAGATTTTGAAACTTTTTTTTTTTTTTGAGACAGAGTCTCACTCAGTTGCCCTGGGTAGAGTTTGGTGGCCTCATAGCTCACAGCAACCTCAAACTCCTGGGTTTGAGCCATCTTCTTGCCTCAGCCTCCAGAGTAGCTGAAACTCCAGGCACTTGTCACAATGCCCCACTAATTGGGTTTTACTCTTGCTCAAGTTGGTCTTGAACTCTTGAGTTTAAGCAGTCCATTGGTCTCAGCCTCCCAGAGTGTTAGAATTACAGGCGGGAGCCACCAAGCCCAACCTAGACTTTTGAAACTTTTACATCAGTGGTTGTCTGTCCCGACCCACAGGAACTGTATTAAAGGGTTGCAGCATTAGAAGGTTGAGAACCACTGTTTTACATAATCATGATACTGTTGAACTATTTTCTTACTGTAAGGTTAAATGCAGTTAAAATGTAGCATTAAAACTTTTCCTTGGTAGTGTATTATTTCTGAAAAATCATTTAGAAAAATGTGTCATTTAAATCTAGATATAAAGTGGAAAGTGGTTTTTACTAAGGCTTGCCCAGTATCATAACAGATAATTATCAAGCATAGAGGGAAAGAAAAATTATAATAAACCCATAGTAATTGTTGCTAGTGAAATTCTTGCTTCAGCTTACCATTAGCCCTCCTTGCTCCCAGACACAAAGAGGCACAAACCTGGTTGTATTCCTCTATCTGAAATGCCCTTCCCTCAAAAAAAAAAAAAAAAAAGGAAAGGTTAACTTTTGTCACCGGGCCAACTCCTATTTTTCCGTTCTTTTAAGATGACAACAACCCCCACCACTCCCTGTTGGATTATACTAGTCCCCTCCTTTCTTCCCTCTCCTGCCTCCCTATTCCTACTTGCATTTTAAATAATCTTTTTGTTAGGAAGGCCTTTGATTTCCTCTTAGGTGAAAAGGTAGGCTGTCCATTATTAGAGATTTTTAATAGTTTAGTGGATGGACCCTTGGGGGAGGTGCTAAGTGATGTCTGAGCTAAAATTAGAACGATGAGTAAGGATTTGCTAGGGTGGGCAAGGGAGAATGTGTGGTTTGTATTTGGAAGTCATGTTTGTAGCTTAGGAATGAGTGACCTGGGTTTCACATTTGGTAGCTAATAACATATAAATGGAGTTCTTATTATCTAAGCGCTCTTATTTAAGCTTTAGAAATTATGAAGTTTTGTAGGTAAGAAAAATTCTCATAACGGGAAAATATTTACCATATTAAGAAATTAATGTGACCAGGCACAGTGACTCACACCTAAGCCGAGGTGGGTGGATTACTTGAGCTCACAAGTTTGAGACCATTCTGAGCAAGAGTGAGACCCCCCCTCTCTAAAAATAGCGGGATGTTGTGGCTGGCACCTGTAGTCCTAGCTGGGAGGCTGAGGCAAGAGAATTGTTTGAGCCCAAGAGTTTGAGATTGCTGTAAGCTGTGATGCCAGAGCACTCTCCCAAGGGCAGCAACTAGGTGAGGCTCTGTCCCCAAAACTAAATAAATAAATAAATAATAAATAGTTCATTTATTTATCCTCTTGGCTTTGGCATAGGGTCCTGCAGATTACAATAAAGCTTGAATTAGTTAAAAAGTCAAATTACTTATGCTAAAAATGCAAGCATTTATTTGATGAAAATGATTTTGGAGTGTTTGATTACATGCAGAAGTGCTGGTAAATGGGAATCTGGCAGAGTGATCTTCTTTGAATGAAGTAGCTAATGATCATTCATTGAATGAATATTGACTGAAGAAAACTTGGTTGTGATGGTAAAGAATCACCGTAGGGAAGACTAGGAAAGTTATTAGCAAAGAAGACTTAGCAGGAAGAATCAAAGGGGAAGAGAAACCTGGACAGAACAGTGTCATAGAGGGGAAGCAGATCCCATAAAGGGGACTGTTGGTTGAAATGGTAGAAAGGCACTAGTGCTTTGCCACAGTGTTGGGATAGGGAGATGAGTGAAGGGAGACCTTTAGGTATACTTTCTTTTATGTTTTTTTAAAAAATACAGATATTTTATATATTAAGTATATGTATAGAAAAAAATCCAGAAAACTGCACACTTAACAATTACTTCTGAGGAGGAGAGTAAGTAGAATTGTGTGCTTGTGTTGAAAGAGTTGGTATTGATGGCTGTGCGCAGTGGCTCAACGCCTGTAAACCTAGCACTCTGAAAGGCCGAGGTGGGTGGATTACCTGAGCTCACAAATTGGAGACCAGCCTGAGCCAAAGTGAGACCAATCTCTAA